AATAATCCAAGTGGACATGGACACACATTCTTTTTATGGGTAGAGAGGAACAATCCTGTTAGTCCGCTCTGTTGCACTTTTGCAGCCCCATTTGGTTAGAACATGCTCAACGCAGTCAGAAGTTTACTAGCTATGAAAAGTCATCTTACGGGTATGGAAAAGTTACAGATTTGTGCTACTCCCACGTCAAAAAAATCCACTGAACATCTCTGTTCTGAAATTCAGCAGCATATTTCCTTCACACAGTGAAGAACCAGTAGTCTCCTTAAGAGTCCTAATGCCTGAGCCAAACAAAGAATGCTTTTTTCCCCCCACTTTTCCTGAATCAAACATTTTCACTCAAAGTCGTTGACAAAAAGCTGATTGTATTACAGGCAAAGCTGTCAACTACTGTGTCTTAGAGCATCTTTTACCTTGCAAAATACATTTGCTGCTTGGATTGCTTTTGTCCAATGACAACAACAATAAAAGCAACAAGTAGGGAACTGCATGTCATTCATTAAAAGTCAAATACTGTATTAACAATTTCAGCCTCTGGAGGCAAATGTAAAACCTGGAGTTATATCTGCATTCATAGGAACAGTGCACTTCTGAAGTCCTCCTTATCCTTACGAGCAACAATTCAATTTCTATTATGTATCTCAATTACACTGAGCTTTTTCACTCTAAACACAGTCAGCACTGCTGCCTTCTGACTATTGCTATAGCTGACAGCATCACTTTTTAGCTAACGTGACATTAAGGCCCACAGGAATTAAAATTATTTCATTTCATAGCACATCACAGTTTGCTAGCAGTTCAAAACACTTGTAGACTTATTGCACTATGGAAAGGCAATTTTCTAGTATCACCACTTTCATCAATCATGTAGCACAAGACTTTCAAAGCATAATTGAAATTTCTTTGATTTTTCTGAAAGCAAGGGACCTGCTTTGTAGAATACACTACTACTTGCACAGCCCTCAAACACACCTGCAGACAGTTGTTGAATTGTTCAGATTAGTTTTAATACTGGGAATAAAAACTCCTGGGAATAAATGCATGCTTGAACAAAATCTAGGAAAAAAAAAAAACAAACCACCACAAACAAATGAGAAGAGGCTTGTTCTTTTATAAGGCTAGGTCCCCTGTGAAACCTGCTCTTGGATAAAGAGCTTTTCCTTCAATAATTTGCCATCCTCCAAAAAAAGAGCAGCTGAGTCATGGAAGACTTTGTGGTCTAACACCACAGGAAAAACAAGGTTTGCAGGTGAGCTATTACATGTGACACCAGTAATAACGTGGGTGGAGCAGTGCAAGAGAGTCTTTTTTTTCTTTCTTTTAAAGTTCTCTTTTGGAGTTGAAACAGAAGACTGACTTCAAAGGAAGGTGCAAAATAATATTCAAATAAACCCTCACTATTGTTACGTGTATTGTAATACACACACCTCTGTGTTTGTCAGTGCTTACATCGCTGTACACAGTTGCCAGCGCCAAACACTTCATATCCAGTCAACTTAGGGATGAGAGAGTGCCCTTCACATCAGGTCGTGCCCCAACAAGAGGGGTTTTCTCTCTCTAACCTCTGAATGGGCTGCCCCTCCTGCAATTCATCCTGTGTACCCACACAGCTGTCTTTGACCGGAGGGAATTTCCCTGGGCTTGTGCAGGGTCCACTTGGAACCCTCCATGCAGCTATTTGCTTGGAAGCCTCTGGAATTTCTGTTTACACAACTGTAATACCTGCGTCTCCTCCAGGAGATAAGGCAACACAGAAATTACCTGGACAAAATACAGAGAAGGTGAAAGTTGAAGTAAATCAGGCAGCTACACTGAAAACCTCCTAAAGCTTGTCAAAGTAATTTTATACTGGATTACTTTGATGCACTCTGTTGTGCCTACAAAGTTACCAGCCAGCTTGTTTTACTCCCAGATAAAATCTTGTTTGATTTTCTGCCAGAATCAGTGTTCTTTCAACATAGTTTCAGCTGCTGGTAGAAGGTATTTTTCTTCTCCAGTTTCATAACCAAACAGACTTGTCTCCATAGTAAACATGTTGTTTTATAGACGTGCAGCACATGCATAGAGCCCACGTGTTTAACAAAGTCAAACAAATATTACAAACATGTTATATTTTCATAAAAACACTTCTGTTTACTAATGACTACTAATAATTATCCTTGGTCAGATTTGAGCTTTTTTTTCCCCTTCTCTCATTGCACATATGCTTTGATAAGATTTACAATTAAAACAAAACAAAAAGACAACATCAAAAATAGCAACAGATTACATTCCTGGATCAACGTGATGATAAATAAAATAAAATTAAAGCACACCACTGCAGAAGCACGTTGATGGTAAACTTTACACAGATGGTTTATATATATATGTATATATAAACTCACTGTTTATGTTTCACTCTGTCTTTAAAATAATCTCTTTGGAAAGTATATACTGCAATAATCATGATTTGTTTGTTTGTTTGTTGTTTAGTCTGGGAAGCTTCTTCAAATCTAGGGAGTAACACAACTTTCATTTCTTCTTCAAATACCTACTGCCACAATAAGAGTTCTTTCAAATTAAAACGAGGATACAACCTTTTCCCAAAAGCAAATGGGAGAATAAAGCATTTAAACAAGAAGTCAGAGAATGAGCAAAGAAGTCAAAGGCCAAAAACATACCTAATTCACAACAATATATGCCAGGATCAAATCTTTTGCCTTATGATGTATCTGATATATCATTATTATTTTTTCTTCTACTGGAAAACAAGCAAACATTTTGCCACAAATTTACAATAGTCCAAACAGAAAAAACTTGGTTTCTACTAGAAAAATATGTAACCCTGATGGAAACATACATTCAAGCACACACTGAAAACAGAGATTCTGTGTTAGAACCACTTCTAAAAAGAGGGACACATTTTATGAGAAATGAGGGTTTCTGCAAGACTGATTTACATCAAAGGTTTGGCTTCGTGGTGAACTCTGCTCAGGGGTGAGAACATGGACTTTTCCATATTGCTTTCCAGAAACCAAAATACAGAACCTCACTTCGTTAAAATCCTCCTGGTAGCACCAACAAAAAGGTAATTTCTTCCTGTTCCTAAAATGCAGGAGAACCAACCCAATTGCTTCTAGAATTACAACACACAGCAGACGCTACTTTTCTCTGTGCGGAATGGAAGCATGAGGAATCACAAGTTTGAGTAAAAGGAGACAAGACTCGTAATCCTCTCTCACATGTTACTTTTGGCTATGCTAACTGCCTATATCAAGCACTTGAGTTCATGTCTCTCACAATGTAGGAATTAGTAACTACAAGAAAGATCTGGATTTCATTGCTGAGACATGCTGTGTTTCTTTTGCAAGGGACCACAGGATCACAGAGTTCACAGTGTCTGACCTCTTCAAGCCCAGTACCAGTCCAAGACACAGGTGCTGTTTTATAAATTCCCCTAAGAGGCACATAAGCTATTTAAAAAATTGTGACTGCACATTTGATCTACATTTTGTAACTTCACAAACCTTTCACTTCTACTGAGGCAAATTCTACAAATGACATTATTTTGGGATCATACTAAATCAGCATCCCAGTTTTCCAAACAGTTCTTCCGCCGGATCGGACGTTATCTCTATTTATAACATAAGTGCCTATGAATAAAACAAAAACTATACACTACACCCTTATGAGGTAAAGTCATCTTTCTCCTCCTCTTCTCCTTGCATAAAATGCCATCCAGTATGTTTAGATATATAGTTTACTTTAATCTTCAACAACAACAAAATTAATTTGTTTCAGTAGCAACTACTGAGACAGTAAAGTTAAATTTTTTTTTCCTCTCCTTCTCCAATCATTCCCTTTCTTGTCCTCCAGAACAGACTACTATACACTGAACAAGTCAAGGAAAGTATTCCTAAGTAAATCCACAAGAAATGCTCTGACATTTATCTGAGACAAATAATTTGAAGGTACAGGAAAAACAAAGAACTAAGTTTGTGATCACTGGTTATTTTTGCATTTAAAAGCACGTGCACACTAGGATTTGAACTCTTTTTCTTTCAAAGGAAGCAAGAAACAATATATTTCAGCACAGAATTCATAGTTCTTCACGAAAGAGTTTCTTATATAAGAGTAAAGAGACAGCAGACACAGTTGAACTGCTAACGTTCATAAGCTCAATATTGACAGAAATTTTACAAAATAAATATCATGAAAAATATTTGACTGTGCAAGTGCTTCAAGTGAGAGAAAACCAAAAATCAACATACATAGTACATACAAGAACTGAACTGGGAATTTCAGGCTAGGAAAACTGAGACAAATTACCAGTGAATGCACAGGAGTTCCACGAAAATTGAGAAAATTTACTTCACAATATTTTCCTATGTTCAAGTGAGTAGCAAAGAATTCTTTACTCAGTAACACATATAAACTATTTCTATAATAGCCACAGATTTAGTTTTCAACTTCATAAAATGAATTTAATTCACTTTAAGGTTTATTTACTTTGAGAACCAAGAAGTGTTTCCTTTCTTTTTCAAAAACAGAGCTATTCAGCAAAATTACACCACGAATTACTGTGAGACTTAACATCTCTTAAGAAAGAAGAGCAGCCTGGGCTAGTGGTTGGTGACCCTGCACATAGTGATGGGGTTGAAACTAAATGATCTTTGAGGTCCTTTTCAATCTAGGCCATTCTATGATTCTATGAAAAAAGGTTAAAGAATCTTCAAGGATTCCAGTAACATATTTCAACAGGATAGTACTATGCCAGTAAGAAAACAAAAATATTTTTGAGCAGTAATGATTCTCATAGCAGCCTTCTTCCGTAGCTATAAGAGACACAAAGAATTTCCTCTCTGTAATTGTTCAAACTCTGTTAGTTTTCTGTCCCTGCAAATCTATCACCCTTCCTTCTAGCAACTGTCAAAATTGTTTTTCTTGCACCAGAAGTTAAGAGATTAGGATACGCAAAGGAAAGATTTTCTGTGCTACTCCACAGCAGGTAATTAACATACCTTTGTGTCATAAATCCCTTCTGAAAATAAAATAGCCACATGTTGCACGCTGGGGTGTGGCAGGGCTATAATCATTTCTGCCAAGTATGCAAGACTTTCTGCAAGTCTGTAGACAAGCACAAAACATTACTTCACTATTTAAACACACAGCATGCCAACATCACCAGTTATTGGTTTAGCTTCCGTGTTTGATAAACTCTATTTTTTGCATAGGTAAAAAGTTCCTATAGCCAGTGGGCACCTCCCAGAATGAGACCATCGTAGCAGTATAGCAGTATCTACCAAAGCAAATAAACCAAGTAGGAGTATTTTCCACTTGTTGCTCTCCTCTATTTTCCAGCCTCCCGTTTGTAGAGGCAAAAAATGCATATGGATGTTTATGTGATAAAGAGCAGCCACATCTTGCAAAGATCCAAACCCTGAGCTTGTTGCATATTTCACTTTTCATGACTCAACTCTGACATTCCAAAGGAATACAAGTCCTTCCTGAACAATATGCATCTCACAATACTTAGTACATGCTCACAATAGAAACTGTGAGATATGAGGGTTGGAAGAATTTCTACATCCTTCAATTCTTCTAAACACAGTTGAGCACAATCATCTCAAAAGGAGATGGAAGTGCTGCCTCTATGCAAGTAAAAATTATTTCAAGTAAAAGTTGTCTCCCCCTGTTTAAATCCACATAAACGGGATTCAATAAAAGGTGACTGTTCATAGCAAGAAGCTTCTTATATCCCATCTGTCATCACATCCCCTCTAGGTTGGAAAAGGCTCCATGTCAATTTAACTTATTTTCCTACAGAAAGGGAACAGAATCCACAACATAAGGAAGGTTGACTTACAATGAGTGGGCAGTCCCCCAGAGCTGACCGTGTAGAATAAAAATCTCTTCTTTTAGAGTGGTAGAAGTCCAAGCAATTCCATTAGGCAACACCTGAGAAGCTCATGTGAGTCTGCTGCTGGATCTGAAAATAAACATACCAGATTTAAAATAAACTTCCTGCTACTTTGTCCTCCCATACCTGAAAAGTATGAGGGAGCTAGGGAGTATGATCTATGAATATGTGGAAACCTTTTTACTCTTCTGTTTCCCCCTATTGTTGTTAATTAAAACCTTTCCCTAAAACACAGCACCTACAACCACATCTTCCTCTCCTGACAGGTATACACTAGAAGTTCAAGTTAGCAAAATTCTCCTACAACTAAGCAACCAAGTCTACTAATACACTACCTGACTAATATATTTGCAACAGAAATCTTTCTTGTCCAAAGGGCCCAGAATTCTGCACATCAGATGCAACTCTGCTTAGGGCCTGGTAAACTTGCTTTCATACATCTTGTCAGCACAAAGAAGAAAAAGAATCCCACATGGGAGGAGATGCTGGGGGTTACTACCATCTTTGACAAAACCTCACCATTATTCAGCCATTGCTTTCTAGCAACCAACACACAGTTTTGTATTTAGATGCACTTTTTCTGAAGACGTTCCAATTTTGCAGTTTTCACTGTAACAATTCTCTGTACAAAATCAACACTGCCAATCAGAAAAGGCTTATGACAAATGCTATGTATGTGCTCAATTTGAGCTAAAAAGATCAATATTTTAACCCGTTTCTACAACCATAGACTGTACAGGTCTTCATTCTGAGTATTTCAATTCCTGTTGAACGAAGTCAGCTTCCTAACAGCCTGATGATAATCTCCCCAGAACTTTATCACCAGCAGAAGGCAAACTCGTGTCTGGGCACCACATAGCATTTGCTGTTTACAAAAGCTAGTGTATCCTTAAGTTTCCTACAGCGCTTTGCTGCTTTCCTGACCTTTCTTCAAGATCAACAGGAAAGAACAGAATTCCTCAAATTATATGTGCCCTCGATTCAAAACTGTTACCCACTATGTATGTTTGTTTCATACATATATACATATATATATACACACATATATGTTTATATATATATATTTGCATATATATATATAAAACTTTTATATGTATTTATTTATATATATTTATTTATATATAAAACTTTTAAACTTATAGTTTAACATAAGTTAACATGCTATTTCTACATGCTGTGAATAGACTTCTTTTCAGAAGCAGAACTAAATTATTTTGCATTTGCTGAGTTAGTGGCATTACTGACTTCATTTAGTGTTATTCTTAAAATATTGGCCTGTTTTCCAAAGAATAAGAAAATAAATCCTTTTTCCTGTTTTTAGCTCACTGAGCTTTGAGTAAAGCCGTTTGCCATCTTTTACCAATTGTCTATATTTAATAACTCCTAATTTCATGTTTACACTGAATTCCTCACTTCTTCTGTTTGTTACACTCCTAGAAATGCCACCACCACCCCCAGCTGGTTTGAAATCTAAACATCTGCTATCTAATTTTAGGATTTGATCTTTCAATGTATGAGCTTGTGTATCAAAATATTAAGGCTGGAAAAACTGCGTTAACCATGATATTTCATATTAATTCAAAGTTATTTCATTTGTGCTGCCTTTTAAGATTGGTGACTTAAAATAGCTATCAATGCAATAGTCCATTGACATTTTTAGCTTGTAGGAGCCTGCAGTGGGCAGAGGCAGCTGAAATAATAACATATTTGAGCGATGAACCAGCTTTACGATTTTATTAGTCAGACTTTCCCAAATCTATGGCTGGCATCTTTCCCAGTATCTCAAAAATTAAGCCACTTCACATTAAAAACTTCCAACCAGTCCCTCATTATAAACTTCTTACGTTCAAGGCAATAGAACAACTTCCATGATAAGCCCCTACAAATAAACACAAATACCTGGCTTTGAAAAACAGGGCCTTTAACTTATTGAGTTGATGATATGAACAAAGTAAGAAAAACAGAAGGAATAATCTGATATAGATTAGTCTGAGAAAATGATGTTACTCATCAGGAATATACTACGCATCACACTGAAATAGCAGGACCCTAAAGTGGACCAACAAGGTCAGAATTACGCAGCAATCCCAAAGGGTCACAGGAAAAGAAAGCCAAGAGTTACACAGAACATTACCTACAGCTCTCCACTTTCTTTTGTAGCCCCTTGTGCAAGAGTTTTGGCCTTGCCTTTACAACTGCAGAATTTGTGATCTACATGCCACATAGGACAAGCCCAGCATAGGGGCATTCACCTCGAACAATGTTCCCACAGGTACCTGAGAAGTCCGTCAGGGAACAGAGGCATTTCAGAATGTCTGCAAATAAAATGCACTTCTTTGGGGGGGCAAGGAGGAGAACGTAGCATAGCATAAAACATCACCTCCTCTGCTCCTAGGAGATAAAGCTCAGATTCTAAATCTGGAGGACAAAAGCAGTAGTTCTTTGATCATGCAGATATCTATATAACTCCAGTCATTTCATAATTCATCTAGTGAACAGGCCAACAGGTAATAAGTTATTCTCATTAAAAAAAAAAAAAAATTGTTGCTGACTATTTTGCAATATAGGTGCACACTTCCTAAAATCATCTGGGAAATCCAGACCAGATAACCTGCAACACTTCACAGCCTGTTGGTCCATCTACTGTTTAAATTTTTTTGTAATTTTAAAAGAAAAAAAACCAATCCCCACTTGCAGAGACCCAACCTAAAACTTCTCACTATCACTTTCACAGTCATTAGAACAAGTAGAATGTGATACATTGGAACAGAATGACAAAAGGAAGACCAAACATAACTCTCAGAGGGGAGCTACAGCTCATGTGAGCATCATAGAAAGATGTTCATTTAATGCAGAACAAAGGAAATCAACTATCTGGCACCTAAGGAAATACAAAAAAAAAAAAAAAAAAGAAAAAAGAAAAAAAAAAGAATATGTAGTAGTTGATTTTTTCACAGCACCACAATTCATTCAGCTGTTTTATGTAGCTTACCTAGTATTGGTACAGTACATCTCTAAGTATTTCTGGAAAAGCCTGTTTTCCTTTCTTGAAAACAAATGAACACCAAAACTGGCAATTTATATCAATTGGTAGAAACGTGCAGTGGGCAGAACCAGGCCCTTCAGGAGTGATTGGCCAATTCTCTCACCTTCTCAATGTTTGCCATTTGTTCCTGCTGCAATTGCTGGTCAAGCCAGTAGCAACATGACTGGAATGAGATTGGGAAATAAATCCAAGTAACTCAAGTAATTGAGTTAATAATCTCAGACAGGAAAAAAGCCAGATTTCTAGCCACACTGTTAGTTGAACCAGCTCATTGCATGGATGCCAATATCCATGGAAGAAAAAGAACAAACCAAGCAGCTGCACAAAGGAACACAGAGAGCAGCTACCCCATTTTTGGAAGCGGCATGAAATTATGCTGATTGACACTGAAAATGGAACTGAGAACAAAGTAGCAGTAAGAAAGCAAGCATCTTGCCAGAATCAGCAATAAGCATGGCTTCTAAACTCAGTTCAATGCATATGAGCAAAAGCCATCAGTAATGCCAGGTCTGACTGAAACCACACATTAACATCTTACAGTTCGCATAATAGATAAGCCAGTTACAAATGCCATTATGTGGTGCTAGCTTTAATTGCTCCAAGCTAAATATAATTTGGAATCTAATAGCTCCCCCTCAGCTCTTCTGTCTCTCAGGAAGAAGAAAAAATTCAAGTTAGTAAAAGCAAATAGGTATATCCAATTGCACATCATCACACAGAAAAAGGAAGCAAACCACTGAGACAATTAAGTTGTCTCCAACACTCACGCCGCACTCCTGGTTGCAGTAGGCTGCTGTTTGCTCTCATCTTCCACCAACCACCTTGGTTCCAATTACAGCCAGCGAGTGAAGCACACATACCTGCTCCTGCCCAAGCACTGCCATTTCTCTGCTCTATTAGCAGGCTGTACTGAATCCCACTTGCCCGATGCTTCCAGTCAAGCTACTACCCTGGTACCCACATGCTTTTCTCTGTGTACCTCCTGGCTCAGCAGCACAGGGGAAGAAGATGAGGGCAAGTGTCCTCCTGCACACGTGTGCAGCTTGATCCTCACCTGCTTCTTTTGTACTGGCATTACATATATGAGGAGTCCAATGTCTGATACAGCAGGAGAGACTACACCACCCTGATAAAGCCATGAAACAAGTTATTCTGCCTTCTTGCACAAAATCATCAAATCAGGATTTTGAAAAACTTAAATGCAAAGTTCCATGCAACGGGCTTTAATTTCCCTCTCTGAGTGATAAAGGCAGAAAATTCAGCAGACAACTAGAAATACATACTACAGATTCAGCATTTTTGTTAACCAGCATTGTAAGTCATTATGTAACTGAAGTTCCCCACTTTTTCTACTGTTCAAGGCTGGGGGGCTGGGGAGGAGAAGGGGGGCGGATGGACATAAATCATTGCTGTAATGAGACAGCAGACTTCCCACTGACTGCAACACCCTTTCTACACCCCCCTCCTCACTCTGCCATCACCTGACTTTTCCTCTTTGGCTTTATCTATCCTCTGCTCATTTTACTGAGGTGAGGTCTTAATTTAAAAAAGCAAACAAACGAACAACCCTCCTCTCTTCCCCCCCCCCCCCAAAAAAAAAACAACCCTATTTTTAAGAATTCTTGTTGACTTCACCCCTTGTCTGTGGTGCATGCAGACAAGAATGTTGCTATTTATGGAAAAAAAGTATTCATCAGACCGTAAGAATTACTGAATCTGGCATTAGAGATGAAAAGAGGGCCGGTTGACTCCAGCCCTGCTTGCCTTGCAGAGCTGAGCAGGCATTGTAGGAGCAAAGCTTGAGATCTGCCAGGAGGAACCTCCTGCTCTGAACAAGCCCAAAGCCAGTATCCCACACTTCCTGTCCCCTGCCCTACCACTTTCTGAGACAAGGAGCAGGCTGGATAGACCAGGTTAAAGGAACTCTGTGTATTTGTTGTCTATTGTGAGAAATGTTAAAGCAAGCCTCCTGACATGTGCTGTTTTACATTAGAACATCCACGCTCTCCTGCTAGCAGAGCTG